CTCTTCTACAGGACTGGTGGAGTTTGGTGAGGCCATAGTGTTTTGGCTTTCCATTTTATTATTCTTTTGTTGTGATTTTGGCATGTGAATTTCTTTTCTTGTTTATGATTCTGATATGAGAATTAAGTTGAAGTATGCTTCTGTTTGTATTATCGGCGTGCCTAGGTCCTTTCCTTATTGGTTATGTAAAGCTGGTTGGTACATGTTTCATGTTCTCTCAGGTTTTATTTTGGAGGGAACTGATGGCTTCAGATCAGCTATTCAGGGGCACCCACAGAAGCCCAAGTCGGGGTCCAGTTAGGTACACTCAGACTTCCTTCTAAGGTTTGGACCCCTATTAGCAGGAACTCAGAGAAAATTTGGGAAATTCCCTAAGGTGGAGGTGAGTTTTAGACTCTCAGTTGGTCTGCTATGTTCTCGGCCCCTATGCCAGAGGGAAGCCAGAACCCAGTACTCTCTGGCAGTCTGCTGAGATCACAGCTGGTATACTGATGGAGGTTGGAGCCCACCCTCTCAGGCTGTCTGCTAGGATCTCATCCTTAGCCTACCAAAGCCAGGTCTTCCCTGGGGCCTTGGGAGGGGCCTCACGAAATCCCAGGTAGGGGAATGAGTATGGTGTAATTAGAGGACGCTCATGACCATGTGGAGGCAGGATGCAGGTGCTCTCAGGCAGTCCCCTGCCTTCTCAGCCGGTATGTCAGCGGGAGGCCAAAGCCCAGCACTCTCTGGGGGTCTGCTGAGATCACAGCCATCACACTGATCCATGATTTACATTTTAATGGATGCCATCGGGCTAAGATTAATGACCGGTTTGTGGGGTGAGGGGGTGGGGGGTAGTTGCAGTTACTGCCACAATCTAGGTGAACAGTATGGTGGCTCCAATCAAGATGATGGTAGTAGAAATGGTGAGATGTGACCCTTGCCTGGATATGCTTCGAAGTTAGGGCCAAGAAGGTTTATGACTGGGTCAGATTTAGGATGTACATTAGTTAATTTTTTTTTATTGCTGTGCTAAAACACTGTGGCCAAGGCAACATATAGAAGGAAGAGTTTATTTGGTTTATGGTCCTAGAGGGTAAGAGTTCATCATGGCTAGGGGCATGGCAGCAGAGGTGGCTGAAGCAGAAAGCTGAGCAGGCACATCTTCAAGCAGGAACAGGAAGCAAAGAAAGACAGAGTGGAAGTAGGATGTGACTTTGACTCTGAAAGCCCACCCCCAGTGATGCCCTTCCTCCAGCATGGCCACACCTTCTAGTTTCCATGACTGTCCACAAGCAGCTACATGAACTGGGGACCAAGTGTCAAAATACTTACAGCCTGTGGAGTATGGTCCTTCAAACCACCACATTCCACTCCCTGGTCCCCATAGGTTCATGACCATATCGTAATGCAAAATGCATTTAGTCCAATTAAAAGTCCCCATAGTCTTTAATAGTCTTGACACTATTAAGAAAATCTAGAGTCCAAAGTCTCAAACCAATCTCTTAACTGTAAGCCCCTGCAAAATCAAAAAGCAAATTCCAACATATAATGGAACTGACCACACATTCCCTTTCCAAAAAGAGAAATGGTGGCATGGTGAGGAAATACTGGGCCAAAGCAAGACTGAAAAACAGCAGGGAAATACCAAATCCAGTAGCTCCATGTCTGATATTCTACTTACAAAAAGCTTCGATTGCTCAACCCCTCCAGCTTTACTGCCTGAAACATACCTCTCTCTCTCTCTCTCTCTCTCTCTCTCTCTCTCTCTCTCGGGTTGGTGCCAGTCCCTGTATGCAGCTCTTCTTGGCAGGTGTCTCAAGGCTCTGGCATCTCCAACATCTTGGGGTCTCCATTGCTAGCCAGGCTCCACCTTTACAGCTTCACACAATGGACCTTTCAGGGTCTCCTGGCCTCTCAGGGCCTTCTTTATGCAGTGTCTCCCCACTGTATGCTGCCTGGATTCCATGGCTCTCTGAAACCACAGAGGAAGAACAGATATCCCCCTCTCCACTCTTACATCTTTCATGACTCTAACACTAGCACCACTACATGAACTACACAGCCAAGTTCAGCTGCCATCTGGATGGACCTCTCCTGGCTTCATCCACATTGCCAGCAGCTTCTGTATGTTGTAGTTTTCTAGGAACAGAAAACCCCTTAGGCCTTTGCCTTTTAGGAGTTGGAAGCTGTGCTGGAAACTTAACACACCTGGGTTGAGGAGCCTCAATTGGGGAATTGCCTCCATTGGACTGGCCTATGGCCATGTCTGTGGGGCATTTTCTTGATTGTTGAGTGATGTGGGAGGGCCCAGCCCACTGTGGATAGTGCCACCCCTGGGCAGGTGGGCCTGTGTTGGATAAGAGAGCAAGCTGAGCAGGGGCCAGGGGAGCAAGTCAGTAAGCAGCATTCCTCCATGGCTGGTGCTCCAGCTCCTGCCTCCAGGTTCCTGATGAACTACAACCTGGGAGATGTAAGCTGAATAAACCCTTTCCTCCCCAAGTTGGTAGTGGTCAGAGTGTTTTGTCACAGCAATGGAGAACAAACTAGGACAGAAGCTTAGCTGGTTGGGATTGTGTCCTGAAAGCACTCTTTCCATTATTCAAGTGCAGATCTGGAGGCATCTCCTTAACGGTTCTAATCTTCTTATCAAAGAGAGACTCTTCTTCAGCAAATGCTTTTGCTTCAGCATTAAACTTCCTAGTGCTCTCTTTCTCTCCAAACTCTATTCTGTATTTCTTTCTGCCCCATTTGCTGTTTTTCACTATAGATATATGTAGTATTCACCATTACTAGCCACACCACTGATCTACATTAGGCTACCTTGAAATTTCCTCTGCCAAAGAGATTAGTCTGTTACTTTTCAGCTTAGCCTCAGGCAAGTTCTTAGACCTTAGGTAGACTGTAGCCAGATGCTCTGCAAAACTATCTCAGTTGCTGTTTAAGTCCTTACTTCCCTCTGGAACTGCATTGCTCTCAGCACTACTTTCTTCCAGGCTCCTACTAGAATGGCCTGTTAAGCTCTTATAGCATTTAACTGATTTCCTAGTACAAACTCTCAAAGTCATCCACATTTCTCCAAATCCCCACATGGTGAGGTTTTTCACAGTAACAGCCCACTCTCTGGTACCAACTTCTGTATTAGCTACTTTTCTATTGCTGTGATAAAACACCATTACCAAGGCAGTTTATAGAAGGACGAGGTTTTTTGGCTTATGGTTCCAGGGAGTAAGAATCCATCATGGCTAAGAGGCATGGCAGCAGAGGTGACCAGATCAGAAAGCTGAGTGTTCACATGTTCAAACAGACACAGGAAGTAGAGAAAGACAGACTAGAAGTGGGGTGTAGTTTGAACTCTCAAAGTCTGCCCCCAGTGACATGCTTCCTCCAGCATGGCCACACCTCCTAAAAGTTCCATGACCTTCCTCAAACTGCACCATGAACTAGGACCAAGTGTTCAAATACTTGGAGCCTATGGGGACATTCTCATTCAAACGACCATAGGATGTGAGTGAAGAGAGAAGTTAAGGATCATGCCATGGAGTTGCTAAAGTAACTGGAGGAACACAATTAACATGAGAGCAGACAGGGAGGCGAAGAGACACAGATTTCAGAAGCAATACATTTGGAGCATGTTAACGTTGAATGTCCTGTTTAGAAATGCAGTGCAAATGCAAAGCAGTCACATCATTTTGCAAGCCCATAAATGTAAAGCTATACACTTCTGGAAAGCAGAGAATGAGGTGAGGGAAGGTACTGGAAGCGGGCTAGAATAAGATGATCCTCCAGGGAAACCCCCACTCCACTGACCTGTCTTCCAGCTAGGCTCCTCCTCCTAAAGTTTCTAGCACCTCCAAAACCAGTGCCACTGGTCTTGATTTTTCCCATATCTTTTTTTCACATACATCAAAGAACTCACAGTGGAAGAAATCTCACACATATAAGTAAGTCTTCATCAAATTCAATTCTTATTATAGTCATGAAAGCATTCATAGTGCAAGACATTATGTATGTAACCAAGATGGGAAATATTCCATTATATCCAGTACCCCTCAGGACTGAAATACCTAGGGGAGAAAGCCTATGTTTGTAAACAATGTGGGAAAGGCTTCAGTTATTTCAGTTCTCTGCAAATATGTAAAATATGTCATCACACTGAAGAGAGATCCTATGTATGTAAGCATGAGGGAAAGAGGTGAGAAACCTTATACATGTAAGTGATGTGGAAAAGCATTTATTTCAGTTCTCTTTAAATATACAAAAGAGGTCACACTAGAGAAATACCGTACAAATGTAAGCAAGGTAGGAAAACCTTTATAAATCATAATTCACTTCAAATTCATGAAAGGATGCACAATAGTCAGAACCATGTATTTGTAAGCAACGTACAAAAACCTTGTTCAAATTACCTTCAAAGACATGAAAGAATTCACAGTGAAGAGAAACTCTATGTCTGTTTGCATTGTGTTAGCATTCATTACTTCTTGTCAATTTTACATAAAAGAACTCACAATGAAGAGAAATTCTCTATGTGTCGGCAGCATGAGAAAGAGTTTAGTTATTCCAATTCCCTTCAGATAGATAAAAGGACTCAAACTAGGAGAAACTCTACACCTGTTAAATGTTTGAAAGAACTCACACATATGAGTACAGGAAATGAACCTGAGTCCTCTGCAAGAGCAGTCAGTGCACTTAACTATTGAGTCATCTCTCCAGTCCCTGAGCCATGTTTGTTACAACATGTGATGAGTATATTTTTTGATCATGGCATGTTCTTCGTGTAAGGCTCCTGCCGTGTAGTCCAGACTAGCTTCAGGTTTGATTCTCTTGCCTCCACTTCTCAAATGCTGGGGTTTCAGAGAGAGAGAGAGAGGAGAGAGAGAGAGAGAGAGAGAGAGAGAGAGAGAGAGAGAGAGAGAGAGAGAGAGAGAATGAATCTATTTTGAGACAGGGTTTCCCTGTAGCCCCAGCTGGCCTGGAACTTACTAGCACCAGGCTGGCCTCTAACTCACAAAGATCCACCTGCCTCTGCCTCCTGAATGCTGGGATTAGAGGCATGTGCCACCACACCTGGCAAAAGAAATATTTTTATCATACTGTCAAAACAGTACAAAGATACCATCTTTGTGTTGACACTGTTATCAATCCTTTTACATTAGCAGCATCTAGTAGTTTGGTTGACTGCTCTTGTGGATTTCACCAATAACTTCAAGTGGATATTGTATACCCATCAGAAGGATTTGGGGGCTGATCAGTCCTTACTCTGAGATTTTAAAACTCTCGATTACACTAAGTAGAATTTTTCTTAGCCTTAAAGAGAAAGGAAATTCTGATACATACTACATGTGTGGAACTTGAAGATATCATGTTAAGTAGGATGAACAAAACACAAAAAGGTGATAAATACCACATAATTCCACTTAAATGAGGCACCTGAGATAGTTAAATGCATAGAGAAATTAAGTGGAAGGTGGTTACCAGGGGCTGAATGAGGATAGGACGATTGAAGACAACTGGTTGTCAGCTGCTATGTGGATGCTGGAAACCAAACCTGGGTCCTGTGTAAGAGCAGCCAGTGCTCTTTTCCACTGAGCCATTTCTCCAGGCCTGAGAATTTTCTTTAAAACATGCTTCATTGCTTAAAAAAATTTTGTCTTCAGTGTTTGTCTTCAGAGAATCATAATTGGTGGTGGTGGACAACCTTGCTTTAATGTTCAGGCTTGCTGACTAATCAAGGTGGTGGATGCTGAGTTGAATGGCTGTAGGAAGTCCTAAAAGTAAGACAAGAGTGAAATTTGCCATATCATACTTCCATGAAGGATTTCCTCCTGGGTGTGCCTAGACACCGTCTCCCAAGGTAACTCTCAAGTTGACAATTGAAATTAACCATCACAATCCCCTGAAGTGTTAAACTATTCTTTTTCGGTCTAGTCTCCATTCTTTTTTCAAAAAAATATTTTCATTGAATTTTAAAGAATTTCATACATTTTGATCATATTCAGACCTCCTTCCGTATCTACACCCCTTCACTACCCTCTGCCTGATTTCATGTCCTCTATCATCTTTTTAAAAGCCTATTGAGTCTAATTTGTGTCTCTAAATGCCCTTCAGCTTGGGTTCATTCCCTGGAGCCTGGTCAACCCAGTGCTGCAACTCAGTGCTACATCCTCACAGAAAGCTCTCCCTCTTCCAGCAGCTATGCACGGCCAATGGTTCCCCAATTAGGGTTGGGGCTTCTTACTACCCTCCCCCCTACTGGAAATCTGTCTGAGTTGAGCTTGCAGAGATCTTCCACATGCTGTCACAATCTCTGTGAAGGCATGAGTGACTCCCCTGCTGTCTGGAAGACACTTTCCTTGTGGTCATCCACCTCCTCTGGCTTTTACACCCTGAGGGGGAATTTCTTATTCAAGCTGTAACAATTTGTTTCTGGCTCTCAAAGGCTTGTGGCAATTTAATTTTTTTGGAATAAAGTGAGTACCCTTCAGGGGAACTGAAAAGTGTACATTATGCTCTGCTTGGACTGCCTTTCTTTGTCAGATCTGTCATAACACTCTCATAGCATTTCTCCATCATCCTGACCCCACTTTCAAGAGTTCAGTCACTTCCTCATAGTATAACCCCACCCAGAGGATGACTGGGCATGCTAGAGATATTGTTTTACCTTTGCAGATCACTTAAGAAATTAAAAAGGCCCCGAAAAAACTGGCTTCTTGGTCCAGATCGATCAATTGCTGATTAGTCACTGCAACAAAAATCCTGTCATTTTCTTTAAGCTCAAACACTCCCCCTTGATAGATGGAATACAGTCCATATTCTGCCTCTTTAGACCAGCAACTGTTTCTGGCACTCTTCATCAGCATGATGGGCTCTGGGTAGCTGGTGAATTTGTAGATGTACTGCACCATTTGTTTGTTTCTCCTGCTCTCCTTTGAGGCTGTCTTGGACGCTTCCTCAGCTTCCTCAAATCGGAAGTATGTTTGGGAATAGATGTAATAAAGGCCTCTTTCCTGGATAACCAGCTCTCCATTTCTCAAGTGCAGACGGTTGAGGAATGAATGTCCCTTCCTTGAAGACTCCCAGGATTGTATCTTCTGGCCCAAGGCTTTTCCGTCACTGGAAACTGCATGAAAATGAAAGAGAGAAAGAGAGAGAGAGAGAGAGAGAGAGAGAGAGAGAGAGAGAGAGAGAGAGAATGAAGAGGACGAAGTCTGCAAACAGCAGAGTCCCTCGCAGCTTTGCATTGTCAATATTTTCATTGGGCCTAACAAAGGATTTCCATCCAATACCAAAATTCTTACCCTTTTAAACAATTTATCAAATTTTTGTGTATTTCATATAAAACATCTTAATCATCTTTATACCTCCTCCCCCACCCTTACCTCCCTATAGACCCCCTACAGGATTTCATGCTTTCTGACGTTCATATTAAAGCCTATCGAGTCCAGTTTGCATCCCCAGACGTCCCTCAGTACAAGTTCATTCACTGGTGTCTAGTCAGCCTATCTAGGCTCAATCCCTTAAAGAAGATCAGCTCTCCCTCAGCCAGCAGTGATCAGCTGCCAGTAGTTCCTTGGCTACGACTGGAGGAAGGTGACCCCTGGGTGTGTGTCTTTGGAGCTGTGCACATCCTGCCCTGGCCCCTTCTTGAATTCCCCTTCTCTACGTTTCTTGTCTGTTCTGCTGTTAACTGCTTTGTTCCGCCTTGCCCTTTCCATCATGATGGACTGACACCACTGGAAGCATGAGCTGAAATAAATCTCGGCCTTCAAGTTGTATACGACAGGGATTTTGGTCACAAAAGGACAAATGTAGCCAATACAGTAGCTGAGAAGCTAGAGATCCAGCCATCAGACCTGTGAGCTGTATTATGGCTCCACGTTGACACCGAGTTTTATGGAAAAAATTAAACACATATATGGTGAAATTGACTTTTTTGTAAGTGAAATGTGGTCAAACGCTGGCAATTCCTGTGGTTCAACAGTATACGTGCAGTTGGAGGTCCTAGTGCTTCACAGGGAAATGAAATGGTTTACAGTAGAATTTTGAGACCGAAGAGTTGATAAAAATATAAAGAGTGCAGAGAGAGAGAGAGAGAGAGAGAGAGAGAGAGAGAGAGAATGAGAATTACTTTAAAGAAGAAAAAAGCTGAGTGTGTTGGGGCTAGAGAGATGGCTCAGCCGTTAAGAGCACTGACTGCTCTTGCAGAGGACCGGGGTTCGATTCCCAGCACCCACATGGTGGCTATGAACTGTCCTTAACTCCAGTTCCAGGGGAATCCGAAGCCCTCTTCTGACCTCCGTGGCATGGCACAACATGGGGGCCCTTACATATATAAGCAAGCATATAACCTCAACACTTGGGAGCCCGAGGCAGGAGGTTCAGTAGTTCAAAGCCAGCCTAGGTGCCATGAACCCTTATTTCAACGAAGGAGGAGGAAAAGGGGAGGATGAGGATGAGGACGAGGATGAGGACGAGGACAAGGAGAAAGGAGGACGAGGAAGAGGAGGAGGAGGAAGAAGAGAAGGAAAAGGGTAGAGGAGGAAGCAGAAGAGGAGAGGGAAGAGGAGGAGGAGGAGGAGGGGGGAGAGGAGGAGGAAGAGGAGGAAGAGGAGGAGAGGAGGGAGGCAGGAATTACAATGGGGGAGGGGGTGTCAGTGAACATCTACAGGTGTCCTTGGAGAGGAGAGGAGGAGGAGGAGGAAGGGGAGAGGAGGAAGAGGAGGAGGGGGAGAGGAGGAAGAGGAGGAGGGGGAGGAGGAAGGGGAGAGGAGGAGGAGGAAGGGGAGAGGAGGAGGAGGAAGAGGAGGAGGGGGAGAGGAGGAAGAGGAGGAGGAGGAGAGGAGGAGGAGAAGGAGAGGGGGAGGGGGGGGAGGAGGGGGAGGAGGAAGGTGGAGGAGGAGGAGGAGGAGGAGAGCAGCAGCAGCGCTGGTCAAAGGGAGACTGCAAACAATACTCTCACATTCCATACTTTTCCCGGGTCACTTGCGGCAGGGCAGTTATTGAGCTACTTCTGTGTAATTTTGCATCTCAAAACAATATTCTATCTGATGCTTGATTATTACTGAGCACTTTGTAAAGTCATATAACTATTTCAGATAAAAGTTATTAAAATAAATTATTTAGAGCAATTCTTCCAGGGCCTTGTTTATGCTGGGTAAGTGCCGCAGCCCATAACGGCAGCCGGGACCTGATCAGGTGTTCATTTGTCTTACTTGGCGTTATGGCTGCGCTGCTTCTCCGGCTGATTCCAGTTATGTGAGCTGCCACTCTCTGATGTCTTCCACCTCCATCTAGGGAAGGAATACTTCGATGCTTCTCTAAAAGAGACATGGCAGAGAACCATCAGTGCTTGTCAAAAATAGTTCTCAAATACAGGGCTCTTCACACACAGCTGTAGTTGATCAGAATTTGTGAGTACAGGAGTTTCTGCGGTTTCATAGAACAGCCCATACTTTATTATGAGGACTGGTCCACTTCCACATACATTTAATTTGAAAAGTACTGTAGATGGAAAGAATGACATTGATTATAAATTTTCAGGATCACAAAGGTAAGGTCCAAACAAAACATAACAAGAGAATGTTCCAGTCCATTAAATTTTTTTGACTGTGGACATATTACAATCTTGCTGTGTTCTAAACTGTGTAAATAACTAGCCACTGGCAAATTCTCGCTGAGCTATGTATAGAAAAAAAGTTGGATTTGTGCCACTTTTTGTCATCTCAGTCATCTTTTCCTCTTTGCTAGCTATTACTGATTCTGAAGGATGAATGTAAAGAGTGGTCCACAGGTGATACAAATGGGATTCCCATTTGTATCATTCCCATTCTCCACCTCATACAAAACATACAAGGTGACATACTGGTCATGGCATCTGGTGTGCAAGCATGTCAGTGTCTGGTTCACTGCATCACAAGAAGCACATAAGATTATTGACCACCACGCAAAGTCCTTTAGAAGAAACGAAAATTTCACATCTGGGCTGGGGAGCTGGTTCAATTGACAAGTGTGCTTGCTGCACAAGCATGACGACCTGAGTCAGAATCTCAGCACCCACAGGGAAAGCTAGCTATGGCCACATGCCTGTAACCTCAGTGCTGGTGATGGGGTGGGTGGGTGAAGGTTGGACAGAGACAAGAGATCACTGGGCTTGCTGGCTACCAGCCTAGCTGAAAGAAAACTGCAGGCTTCAGGTTCTGTGAGAGACCCCGACTCAAGGAACCGAGTCAGAGAGTAAGAGAGAACAGCTGACAACCTGCGCATGCCTCCAAGGGTGTGCACACAGCACACACACCCGCACACACCTTTGCACACACATCCACACACAATACAAATCCAATACAATATCATCTTTTACAAAACAGCTTAAGGGCTGAAGAGATGGCTCTGACTGGCTGCTCTTGCAGAGGACCAGGTTCAGTTCCCAGTCCCCACACTGCAACTAACAACCTTCCATAACGCCAGTACCAGGGGCTCCAGTGCCGTCTTCTGGCTTCCCTGGGCATTGCACAACACAGGTACACATGCATTTAACACGCATGCAGGTTAAAAACATGTACACACTAAATAAAAATAAATACCCACTCCCCAAAAAATCAGCTTAAAATCCAAGTTCTGCTTACATTTGTTAAGATAAATTATATTCTTTCAATAAATATTGGCAAGGACAAGACATTACAGCACACTGCAGAGAGCTATGCAGACCAACCATTGATTCCACTGACTGGGCCCTCAAGGAGTCTACTGTGTTTTATGAGATATCCCAATTGGAAAATGAAATTTTATCCATGAGCTATGGAGGTAAAGGGTGACAGATATGCAGAAGAGGGACAGAATCTTACTTATTGGAGAACTGAGGTCAGTGGAGGAGATGACATAAGACCCTTTCATTCATTTATTCCAGTAAACCACAATGTCCACCACACCTATGCCAGGTACCCTTCTAGAGATAAAAGAAAGATCATTAACAACTAAATGTTACAGGTGCCAGGATAAATAGGGTGAAGATGAGCAGGCTAGGGGCCTGCAGAGATGGAAGAGAGATATTTCCAGAGTCTCAAGGCAGGATGCATGAAGCATTACTGGGACAGGAGCTGGATACAGTTCAGAGTCTGGTCAAGATTTGATGTTGGGCTGACTTTACAAGACAGAACACAGAAAGGTGTGACAAGAGATGTGTTGTGCTTAAGGCTTATAACAAGGTAAGGTTTGATAGAGGGTAAGAAACTGGAGGCTAGCAGTCAAGTTACCAGATGATGGCAATCGGTCAGGTTGAAAACGGCAGCCCTTCATCTAGACTGGCTGCACAAGGAAACAAAAGGAATCAATAAAATTTCACAGAAGAGGAGTGAATAAAAAACTAGAAACCACCTTTATCTCTCTGAAATTAGGCATAAATTACTATTATTGCTGTTGCTCTTTTATTCCAAGAAGAAATTTCTTTTTGAAGTAGTAATTCAAGAGAAACTTGATAAACAACATGGTTTGTAAAATGAGCAAGGTGGGAAAGAATGGGTGGATGATGGATGGATGGATGAATCAGTCGATTGATCGATATAAGCTAGGGAATCTCTACAGAGCAATCTTCTGATGATGTGGGAAAATAACTAAACTATTGTGCTAGTTATTGTCAACTTGACACAAACCTAGACACACCTAGGAACAAGGAATCTCAATTGAGGAACTTCCTCCATCAGACTGACCTGTGGCCATGTCTGTTGGGCAATTTTTTGATTGCTAATTGATGTAGGAGGACCCAGCCAACTTTGGGCAGTGACATCCCTAGGTAGGTGGGCCTGGACTGTGTAAGAAATGTAACTGGACAAACCAGGAGAACAAGCCAGCAAGCAGCGATCCTCTGTGGTCTCTCCTTCTGTTCCTGCCTCTAGGTTCCTGGTTTGAGTTCCTGCCTTGACTTTCCTTGATGATGGACTCTGAGCTGTAAGCCAAATAAACCCTTTCCTCCCCAAGTTGGTTTTGGTCAGTGTTTTAGCACAGCAACAAAAATCAAACTAATATAACTCTACTTTCTATCTTCCACCATCCTGGTCACCCAGGTTCCTGAGGACTATGAGTACAGCAATTTTTTTTTTCATTTTATTATCATATGCTAATTATACAGAATAACAGGTTTCATTATAACATTTTCACACATTCAATAATGTGCTTTGATCATAATCTGTCCCCTTCACCTGTTCTTGCTCCCCCTTCCTTCCTCCCGCTGGTCCTATTCCTCTTTCCCGATCGTCCCCTTTATACCTTCATGTCTTTTGTCCCTTACTGGTGTTATATAATTGTACAAAATAATGAAGTTTGTTATGCATTTTCACACAAGTACAAAATATATTTTGATCCTATCCATTCCTCCCATTGTCCTTTGTTGTTCCCCCATCCTCTTTCTCTTGGCCCCCATTGGTTCCTGTTGATTCGTGTTGGTCCCTGTTGGATCCTGTTGGACCCTGTTGGTCTCTTGGTCCCTGTTGGTCTCTGTTGGTGCCTATTAGACCCTGTTGGTCTCTGTTGGTCCCTGTTGAACCCTGTTGGTCTCTGTTGGCTCCTGTTGGACCCTGTTGGTCTCTGTTGGCCCCTGTTGGTCTCTGTTGGTCCCTGTTGAACCCTGTTGGTCTCTATTGGCTCCTGTTGGTCTCTGTTGGTCCCTGTTGAACCCTGTTGGCTCCTGTTGGACACTGTTGGTCTCTGTTGGTCCCTGTTGGCTCCTATTGGACCCTGTTGGTCTCTGTTGGTCCCTGTTGAACCCTGTTGGTCTCTGTTGGCTCCTGTTGGACCCTGTTGGTCTCTGTTGGCCCCTGTTGGTCTCTGTTGGTCCCTGTTGAACCCTGTTGGTCTCTATTGGCTCCTGTTGGTCTCTGTTGGTCCCTGTTGAACCCTGTTGGACGCTGTTGGCTCCCTTCTTCCCAAAATGGTCTCCCTTCTGCTTTCTTGTCTTTTCTCCTCCATGGTAGCTGGACTTCCCTTGAATCTTTGTCAGCATTTGCTCTTATTATTTTTAAATGTTTTAATTTATTTTATTTTATGTATATGAGTGTATTGTCTGCATGTATGTAAGTGCACCCATGACATGCAGTGCCCGTGGAGTCAGAAGAGGGTGTTAGATTCCTCTGGAACTGGAGTTATGGACGGTTGTTAGCCACCCTGTGGGTGCTGGGAATTGAACCTGGGTCCTCTGCAAGAGCAGCCAGTGCTCTTAACCACTGAGCCGTCTCTCCAGTCCCCAGTTGTTGTTGCTGTTATTATTATTTTGATGATAGCCATTATGACTGGGGTAAGATAAGATCATGGAAGAGCTTTATTTCTCCTTTGATTTGTGTGAGTGTGTGTGTGTGTGTGTGTGTGTGTGTGTGTGTGTGCTATATGTGTGGGTGATATATGTGTACTTGTGCATATATATGTGCATGCAACCATGTGCTCATATGCAGAGATCAGATGTATTAGTACTTTTCTGTTGCTGTGATAAAACACCATGACCAAGGAAACTTAGAGAAGGGAGAGTTTATTTAGCTTATGGTTCCAGAGGGAGACTCCATCAAGGCCAAGAGGCCTGGTCAGAGCAGAAAGCTGAATGCTCAAATCTTCAAGCGTCCACAGGAAGTAGAGAGTGAAACTGTAAATGGGATCAGGTTATGAACTATCAAAGCCCACCTCCAGTGGCATGCTTCCTCCAGTATGCTCACACTTCCTAAAGGTTCCATGACCCTCCCCAAACAGCACCACTAAATGAGGACTAAATATTAAATACTTGGAGCCTATGCGGTTCATTGTCATTCAATCCACCACACCAGAGGAGCTCATTGGGTTTCTTTCTCTATCACTCTACTCTTTATTTCTTTGAGACAGGGTCTTTCACTGAGCCTGGTGCCATGCTGGTGGCCTCCTCTCCATCCCTTACTGTTGTGGTATTATGGGCATATATCTGGCCATCCAAACGTAGGTCCTCAAGCTTGCATAGGAAGCACTCTTATCCACTAAGCCATCTCTCCAGCCCCCTTATGAGATAGGGTGTCAGGTAGCTGAGGTTAGTCTTGAACTTGCTTTGTAGCTGAGGCTGGCCTTGAACTCCTGATCCTTCTACCTCTACCTCACAAGTGCTGAGTGCCAAGCTTCTCTTTTATTTTAAAGGATAACTTTGCTGAATGCAATCTTTTTAAAAAAGAATTTTTTTACATTTATTTAGTGTGTGTGTGTGTGTTGGGAGAATAATGTGTATGGAGGTCAGAGGACAACTTTTAGGAATTTGTTTTCTCCTTCCACCGGGTGACAGAGTTTGTCAGCCTTGTTAGCAAGTGCCTTTACCCACTGAGCCATCTCACCCACCCTGGGTACAGTAGACTTGGTTGGCAGTTCTTTTATTCCAAGGCTTGAAATAGTATCAGTCCTTGCTCTCCTGGCCTTCAGCATTTGTCTTGAAAGGCTGGCTGTCACTCTGATAAGTTTGCCTTTGTAAGTAACTTGGCTCTTCTTTCTTACAGCTTTCAGCATTCTTAAAAATATGGAGCATTTCACAAGTATGCATGTTCTGCTTGGGCAGGGGCCATGCTAATCCCTGTATTGTTCTGGTGTTAGCATTCGTGCTGCTGAGGGAGCAGATGCTCTGTGAATTATTAACGGTTGATGGACATTATAGGACACTGAAGACTGTGGCATGGAGACAGCTCGTCAATCACACTTTAGTGTCAGAAGGCTCAGTTGTCAAGTTGGATGCATCCATTCCCCATTAACCTTGACTATTATGTGCCTTGTTTGCCCCTAACCCATAACACTTTGGTAAATATTTAACGCCTGATTCCAATTTGTGTTTGAGATCATTGCAAGGATATAGGAAAGCCTCGATTTGAAAGCAATTTTTTTTATCCTTTAAATTTTTTGTTTTACATATTAATTTTTACTTTAAGATTTTAATTATTTTTATTTCATGTGTATGAGTATTTTGCCTGAATGAATGTAAGTGCCTGGTACCTGTGGTGGCCAGAAGAAGGCATTGGATCCCCTGGAACTGGAGTACAGATGGTTGTTAGCCACCATGTGGGTGCTGAAAAACGAACCCAAACCAGGTAGTCTGTAAGAACAGCCAGCGCTCTTAACCACTGAGCCATCTCTCCAGCCCCCACATATTCATTTCTCATGGCACAGTGTTCATGGTGCTGTGTTCCACAGGACATTTTCATACAAATATTTAATGTGCATTGAGTGCGTTTCCCTACCCTCCTGCCCACTCCCCACCTCTCGTTGGTTCCTTTCATTCTCCTGGAGAGTTCCGCTTTTACTTTTGCGTCATGTATACATTCACACTTCTATGCATTTATATAAAATCTAGGAACCACAAATGAGAGGAAATATATAACAGTTGTCTTTCTGAGATGGGCTTGGTTCGCTGGATATCTCTAGTTGCATCAATTCTCATGCAAATTACATAACTTCATTTTTCTTTGTGATGAAAGAAATTCCTTTGTGTATATACACACATCTTCTTTATCCATTCCTCTGTTGCTGAACATGAAGGTTAGTTTCATAACTTAGCTGTTGTGAATAGTGCTACATTAAATATCTGTGTGCAAGTATCTCTGTGATATTTTGACTTGGAGTCCTTTGTATAAATACTGGGTCATATGGAAAATCTATTTTTAGTGCCTTGAGGGACTTCCATAGGGTCTGAACTAGTTTACATTCCTACCACAGTGCGTAATGGTTCCCTTCCATCCACACCCTCCCTCGTACTTGCTGGTTGGGGTGAGATGAAATCTCAGCGTTTTAACTTGCATTTCTCTGAGGACTAGTGAGGCTGAATATTTTTCCTATGTTTATTGGCCATTATAGGTCATTTTTTGAGGCTTGTCCATTTTTTAATTGGGTTATTTTATTTCTTATTTGAGTTCTTTGTGTATTCTAGATATTAACCGTCTATCAGATGTAGAGCTAGCAGGTTTTTTTTTTCATTATGTATGCTGTCTGTTTGTCTGATTAACTGCTTCCTTTGCTGTGCAGAAGCTTTTCAATTTCATGAAGTCCTATTTATCAATTGATGACACTATTTCCTGGGTGACTGGAGGACTTTTCAGAAAATCCTTGTCTATGCTTATATCTTGAACTGTTTTCCCTACCTTTTTTCCCCCTAAAACTTGAGAGTTTCAAGTTTTACATTAAGATCTTTGATCCATTTTAAATATTGTATTTATTATTTTTATTATTTTATGTGTACGAGTGTATTGCCTGCATGTGTATAAGTGCACATGTGTCGTGCAATGCCCATGGAGATCAGAAGAGGGCATCGGATCCCCTGGAACTGGAGTTACAGACAGTTGTTAGCCACCATGTGGGTGCTGGGAATTGAACCCAGGTCCTCTGCAAGAGCAGTCGGTGCTCTTAACTGCTGAGCCATGTCTCCAGCCCCTGAAGTTGGTTTTTGTGCAGGGTGAGAGACAGGAATCTAGTTTCATTCTTCTACATGTGGACATTGACTTTCCCCAGCATCATTTGTTGAAGAGGCTGTCTTTTATCCAAAGCATATTTTGCCATCTTTGTCAGAAATCAGAAGGCTGTAGTTGCGTGGGTTTAGAGCTGCCTTCCCCATTCTGTTTCCATGATCTGTGTCGGCTTGCTCTTGTTGCTAGGACTCTGCAGTATAATCTGAGATCAGGTATGGTGACACCTCCAGCGTTATTCTTAATGCCCAGGATTGCTTTGGCTATCTGGGCTCTTCTGTGCTTCCTTATGAATTTTAAGATGATTTTTCTAGCCCATGAAAAAAAGTCACTGGAACTTTGATATAGAGTGCATTGAATATGTAGGTTGCTTTTAGTAATACAGCCATTTTCACAAGACTGAGTCTTTCAATCCATGAGCATGGTAGGTTTTCATCTTTTAATGTCTTTAGCATTTTATAGAGGTCACCTTTCACTTTCTTGGTTAGGTTTACTCCAAGGGTTTTAAACAATATTTCATTTATTATTTTTATTTTAGAGTATGAGTGTAGTGCCTGCATGTAGGTAGGTCCACCAATGTCATGCACCTACCCTTGGAGGTCAGAAGAAGAGGGCATCAGATCCCCTGGAACTAGAGTTATAGACTGTTGTTAGCCACCATGTGGGTTCTGGGAATCAAACCTGGGTCCTCTGCAATAACAGCTAGTGCTCTTAACTGCTGAGCCATCTCTCCAGCTCCATGAGGGGTTTTGCATTTGTTTGTTGAGGCAACTGTAAGGGTTGTTACTTGATTTCATTCTGAGTATATTTATTATTGGTAAATAGGGAGGCTATTGATTTTTGTGTGTTAATTTTGCATCATGCCACTTTGCTTAAAGTGTTTATTATAACTGAGAATGGAGGCAAATTTTAAAGAGAGGAAATTTCCAACTGTTCATAGCAAACACTTTCCAGAAAAGAAACCAATGAATATGTGATTTGGGGAATCATGGATAAGAAAAAAGGAATACTCATCTTCCAGGTTCTTAAACAGCTTCTGCATGTATGGCAGACCACACACCTGGTGTGCCTTCCAACAGGTGTGTTATCCAACTGCTTTTACCTTTCTAGAGATGATCAGAAAGAATGATTAGGTTCCAGGACCAGGCCTTGTCCTTAAACTCAGAAAAATGAGAATTGTCAAGTGAGGAAGAGGTTTAAAGAACACTTTTATTCTTTTCTTTTTCCCTTCTGCCATCCTGTTAGTGTACCTGTTCAGTCTTGTACAGTCATTTGTATAGGAAAAGGTTGATGGTGAGTCAGATACAAACAAGTAGGAAGTTAAACTCAGTCATCTTATTCACTTAATTGTCTATTTAATTGTCTATCATTGTGTGTGTGTGTGTGTGTGTGTGTGTGTGTGTGTGTGTGTTAACCTCTTAGGTAGAGAGCGGCTGCTTTAGCACAAAATTGTGAAAGAATTATTCCCAAATTCTATATTGTATTTTTAGGTGCTTAATTTATATTATGTGAATTTTATCTCAGTAAAATAACACACACACACACACACACACACACACACAACCTGAAAGTTGTGCAAATAAAGACCTGGAACAAAAAAGTCAAAACCTTACTAGCTGTAAAGCAGACAATTAGGTGCTGGCTATAGCAAGGTGAAAAAAAGACAAGTTTTCTGTCTTTGCAAGATCTTCAGTGTGGTCGAGGAGTCAACAGTTCACTGATAAAAATTATGTCTACAACTATAAAGAGAGGGGGCTGGAGAGATGGCTCAGCAGTTAAGAGTACTAGCTGTTCTTGCAGAGGACCCAGTTTCAGTTCACAACACTCACACAGCAGCTAGCAACCATCTGTAACTCAAGTTCTAGAGGATACAATACCCTCTTCTGGTCTTTTCAGGATTGCAAACATGACTTACATACATGCATATAAGATATAAATTGACAATTTTTCAAAAAAAATATAAGGAGATGAGCGATGTAAGTGTGACAGGAGCAAGCAGGGGAACGTATTAAAAAGGTGGCTAGTAGAGAGGTCTGTGAGCAAGAGAGCCATGAAGGGGTGAGAGGGGCCAGCAAAGGAGGAGCCAGATGGAAGGCTGGAGAAGCCAACCTGGCCCAGGACACACCGAGAATTGGGTGAAGAGAAGGGTGCTGACCACTAACAGGATGGTGGGCACATGGTCTCTACTAGAGACCACAGGCTATTGGGGAAGGGGTGACACAGGGAGAAGCTTTTGGGTAAAGAAAGGCATGAAGTCAGGGTCAGAAACAGAGAAGGTAATTAGGGGTTCTTATTTATTTTATATCCTGCCAAGTTTCAGTAAAGACTTAGGATGGTTTAGTTATAACACATTAGAAAGCAAAATAATTAAACAAGTGAACAAATTGAAGCCAATGGAAAGTTCATTTGGGAAAAAAGTAATATTAAGCAGGAGCAAAGTTCTGACCAGGGTAGGCTGTGCATTTGACTCTGAGCTCTCCAGCTGTCAATGCAGAGAGGAAAAAAATCAGTAAGTGGGTGGAGACACAGGACAGAAAGTCCAGAGTGGTGTGTGGGGGAAGAGACTGAAGAGGTCTTCAGTTTGTCATGAAGTAGTCAGTGGTAAATAAAAATAACAACAAAATATTACTACCTTGAACTGTAGGGATCATTTCCTCAAAGGTTTTCAAAGTTGCCTGCAAATAGTTCGAATAAGGCTTGTTAATGTCCTTAATTTCTTAAAAAATTATTTATTATTTTTTTAAATTTTATGTGTATGAGTGTGTTGTCTGCATGTAAGTAAGTGCACCTGAACCATACAGTGCCCAAGGATCAGAAGAGGGTGTTGGATCCCTTAGAACTAGAGTTATGGATGGCTGTTAGCCACCATGTGGGTGCTGGGAATTGAACCTGGGTCCTCTGCAAGTACAGTCAGTGCCCTTATCCACTGAGTCTAATTTTTTAATCGACTGTAACATTCTGATGTCTGGCAGGACATTTTTACAATGATATCAATCTAGAAGACTTCAGTCATCCAAGTGTAGGGTTTCTTTGGGGTGCTGTAGGGGACTAGGAGGAATCTTGAGATAACTGTTCATACACTATGATCAAGAGCCAGTCTGAAAGTTCTGTTTCTGGGTGAGGTCTTTGAACAGCCACACTTGGAGCAGCACAGGAGGAGGAGGCTACCTTCCATTTAGGTCAGTCATGTCCCTGGGCCTCCATGAAGCTGATGGCAGCCATGTCCCCATCACTCTGCATGAGGCATGAGCGCAGGTACACGTGTGTGTGACAGAGCCCAGCAGCTAGAAGTTATTGGACAGATATGAACCTTAGGATGGAAGGTTCAGATGCCCACAGTTGGACACAGCCCAGGAATGCCCAACTTGGCCCCTCCATGTCGTTCTCCAACATCTAGTAATTCCCTCTTTGTACTAACCAATGGAAAAACAAAAACCAAGCACAAAAGGGGAAACAGCGTTTCTATTCAAGGAGAAGAACCTGATTTGAGTCATTATGGCTCCTGAACACCCTTTATGCATGCTTGTTATGCCAGCGGCTAAGCCATCACTGCCCCGTCACCGTGTCAGAAGCATGCCTGCTGTACCTCCACCCCACAGTAGACGCTGTCTGCCTCTCTCTGCTTCATCCTGACCTCTGTTGGAGCACTCACTGGAGTTGGTCCCATGGGTTCTGAGAAGGCAAGGGAAGTAAATGTGGATCTGAACACTCACTGCCTCATTTCTGTTTCTCTTGCTCTTGTATCATTCCAGGACAGGGAGGAAGGAAAGAAGGGAAAGAGGGAGAGAGAGAGAGAGAGGGAGGGAGGGAAGGAGAGGAGGAAGGGAGAGAGGACATGAGAGGACAGAGAGATGAAAGGAAAGAGGGAGGAGGGAGGAGAGGATAGAGGGAGGGAGGAAGGACACGGGTGCCAGAGGAAAGGCCATTCCCATGGCTTGAGAGGTAGAGTGAAAGAGGGGCTACATGCATGGTGAGACGACCAGGAGTCAAATCTGTCCACTACAGCCCCTTGAGACAGCTCAAGTTACTTAACTAATCTGAACTGCACTGTCTGCGTCTGGACTCTTCCTGGGGCAGTGCTGTGAGGAATCCATGGGATTCTGTGCAAAACAGGAGGATGTTTACAGGAAATAGGATGTTAACTGCCTGACCTGAATGTGGAATTCGTCCTCCCACATCCGACTATACTTGCCCAGTTTTTCTCTACTCTAGTTGGCCTGGATGAGACTGGGAGGGAGTGAGAACTGCAAGAAAGTGACACAGAGCATCCATCATAGTTCTCCTGTTACTTCCATGGTTGTCCCCAGCATCTAACCAGCTCCTCAGCCTCCAGATTGCTGCTCTGGTTCCGGTCTCTCTCTCTACTGGCTCACTAAATCCCTTAAGCCATGTCCTTGGAAGTTGTATGACAGGATTCTTAGGAGCTGGGCAATGGTCATCTTCATAGCTGTTTCTGAACAGCTGTTGCCAGTGGTACTCAGCCCGGGTGTACTCACAGAATGCCCAGGTGCAAGTCCAACTCATTTGGCTTAGAAACCGCATCCCAAATGATGTCTGGCTCTACTCTGAGTCCCACTCAGGGTCACTCACTGGAGCCCTGACTACCAAGACAGCACTGTTTTCATGGAACAAACCAATCATCAAACAATGGACTCCCAAACAAGTCTGACACAGTCTCCTCCCACTCTGGGAGTTCCCCACACCGTGTCCTTAAACAATGATCTCCTGTATGGGGCCTCTTACTTTACAGAGTATTTTTAATATCAGTGCCTTCATCTGACCTTTTCAGAAAGGCAAAAGGCAAATGTTTGGAAATGCCATCTGACCAAGAAGGAAGCAGGCAGAAACGAAACTGATTTGATTTGATCTAAAAGTAAAATCAGTTAACCACATTCAGCAACATTAACTGTTAGCCAGCCCCAACTTTCTGCCAGAAATCCCGTTGAAGCAACTCCCATCAACAGATGCATTTTCCAACTTGTCACTCGTTGACAGTGAACTGAGATAACCCACTTTCAGTCTCTCAAGGCATCTCCTTTTCCCTTCCTTCATCTTTATGCGCACACAAAAATAAGCATGTAGTCAGTTCTAGAGCCCAACCTAGGGAGAGGACTAGGAAACAGCATTATTTGGCTTCTTTTGTCTTCTGGATGAAAGGAAAAAACACAGGTATCCCTTATTATTGGGCAAACTTGAACACATGTCCTGTCTATACCTGTTTCTACAAAGTAAGATGACAAAGTTAGGCTACAGAAGGTGGCTGTCTGGTCAGCAGGGACCACATGGTCCTGTACCATTTTTCCTAGTTTTATGAAGTTGGTAGAAATCACTTAAACATCCGGGGCCTCAGTTTCTTTGTTTGCAAAATACAAACTTCTAATTTTGATGATCTGCAAATTCTTTCTCCTCTGACCTTGTGCACCTGCTGATGAGATTACTTACCTCTCTCACAAGCTGACGTAGCTGCCTCTTGGCCTGCCAGCAGGGACTGTTCAAGACCTCTCCATCAGTGGCATCCCAAGAATCCTCATCTTCCTTTAAGAAACAAGCAAGGCCGCTTTTGGAGTATTTGTCCTGCAACTGATAAGAGACGGGAGTGAATGTGATGATGATCTGCTTTTTATTTTTGTCCATCTGGGAGCTCAGAGAATGAAGGTGGAAGGTGAAGAAGACTTAGAGCTCTGAGTTTGGGCACCATGGGTAAGTTCACGCTTTAAATGAAAGTAGAAAAGCCGCCCTTTCTCTGTTGACACTAAGTAAGCAGTTGAATGTGTTGGCAAGGATGCAGGTGTGGACCAGGCCTGCTGGGTCACGGTGCTCGTCCCCGCACCCCTCACTAACAGCTGCATGTCCCTCTTACTTTCCTTCCTCCACAGGTGTTTCTCTTTAGACATTTGTGGTGACGAATATTTCTCCCAGTTCTGAGATGGTATGGATCTCCCTTCCCAAGCTGGAAGCCTGCCTAGGCACAAAGTAGGGAAAAGTCCATTTAAATGGCGACATCCTTAAAAAGCAACCGACCCTTTGGTGCTGTGATGAGACGTGTTCCCCTTCCTCATGAGAACTCCAGCAGCTGAGTCCAGTGGAGCCACTGACATGATTTCTACTCCGGTTGGCAGCATCTGGCCCACGTTGCCATTAGGAATCTCTGTGGTGCCTCTGGTGGTTTGAATGAAAATGTCCCCCATAGGCTCCAAGTATTTGGACATTTTGTCCCCAGTTGGTGGTGCTGTTTTGGGAGGTCTCAAAAGGTGTGGTCATGCTGAAGGAAGCACATCACTGGGGGGAGGGTTTAGAGAGTTCTTAAGCCTTGCCGATCTCCAGTCTCTCTCCTTCCTGTGCCCTCGTGAAGATGTGATTGCTCAACTTTCTCCATCTGCCACCTCCTTCCACCATACTTTACCTGCCATTATGGACTGTAGGACACTCAGAACACTCAGGCTGTTGCCAAATCAAGAGAAAGGGAAGAGGGGTGGGGGTGGGGAGGGAGGAAGTAGGTGGGAGGGGAAAGGAAGAGGAGGTCGTTATGAGTTAGGTTTTCCTCGTGGTTTCCTCTTCCTTACGCTTTGGTTTTTGTTTTCCTAACAGCTTGGATTTATTACATGTTATTTGTCAATATCTAGTTACACAGGCCTGTAATCTCAGCTACTTTGGAGGCTGAGGCAAGAGGATTCCAAGTTAAAGCTTGTCTAAGTGACAGAGTGAGTTCAAGGCCAGTCTACACAAATCAGTGAGGCCTTGTCTCAAAGCAAAATAGAACAAAACAAAATGTAAAAAGAGAGTTGGGGATGTAGCTCACTGGTAGAGTGTATATGTAGCATACGTGAAGCCCTGGGTTATATCCACTGCACTACATAAGAAAAACAACACATTTCTCTATTAGAAAACCTCTGCTGAGGGGCTGGAGAGTTGGCTCAGAGGTTAAGAGCACTGACTGCTCTTGCAGAAGACCTGGGTTTGAGTCCCAGCACCCACATGGAGGCTAAAAGTAACTCCAGTAACTGGAGTCCGTAACTCCAGTTCCAGGGGATCCAACACCTTCTACCTCTGCGGGCATTGCATGACATGGGTACACTTACATACATACAGGTAATACACTCATACACATAATATAAAAATAATAAATAAGATGTTTTTTAAAATATCTGTTGATTTGACTTTATCTGGGAAAATAAGACAATAATTATTTGCTGTTGCTGCTTTCTTTTGTTTTTTGACACAAGATCTTACTGTGTGGCCTGGTTACTTACTGGACACACCAGTACAGTCTGGAACTCATAGAGATCTGCCTGCTTCTGCTGCCCAAGTGCTGGAATTAAAGGTATATGCCACCATGCCCAGCCTGAAAATAATCATTTTTATCTCTTACTTGAACTTGGAGTATTGTAAAGTTTGAAGGGGGATTAAATTTAATGATAACCCACACCTCCTATAGAAAAAAAATCTATCAATTGATTGTGAGACAAACTCTTGTATAACCCAAACTGGCCTCAAACTCTCTAGGAAACCAAAGATGATCTTGAATATCTGATCCTCCTGCCTCTACCTCCCAAGTTCTGGATTGTAAAACAGTACCACCACACTCAGTTTTATGTGGTGTTGAGGACTAAATCCAGGTAGGCAATCACTCCACCCACTGAGCTACATTCCCATCTCAAATAATCTCATTTTAAATAAAAATAATTTCCTTATTCATGAGTTGGTTCTGACCAGAACCACACAGCCCTATAGTCAGCACTTTTCCTGAATAGAAAAGGACAAACATGAGTTAATGAATTACTTCCACATACCTTAACACAGAACACTCAGTTTACTTTCTGTTTAAACCAAATGAGCAGCTTCACAGACCTGTGACTGGTTGAGACATGTATGTCTCCTTCCTTCACTGCAATTAGAAACTATCTCAACAAAGAAAGGTTGAGAGCTGGGCAATGTCGGGCCCAGGTCAGGAAGAAGCTGAATTGACTGTAGGTTCAGACTGGAAGATGTCTGGCTGCCCCTAGGCCCTGGGGGATGTGGGGGGCGGGGTGAGCAGGTTGAAGTAGAGTCCCAGCAGCAGGAGTTAGCCCGGCCCATACCACAGTCTCTGGAGACTTGGCAGAAACACTTTTAGGATGCAGGCAGAGAAATCTTGATTAAGGTCTTGGGTAGAAGTACACAAGTTAATATATAATTGAATCATTACCTCAGTGGTAATAAATAAAGCTGGGGGAGTAAGTCAGAGGTAGAGATCACATAAAAACTCAGTGAGGCACAGCTTCAAGCAGAACACACAGGGAACTGAGGAAGACTTTTACAAGGCCAAAACGAAAGCGCTGCCAAACTAACCATAATCTGAAACAAAAGCAAACTGCTAAATTGAAAATACCAACAGTCCTACCTCCTGCTTAACCTCTGGCTGATCCTTTGTGTCCATGGCTGAGATTGGACGGTGTGTACAATTTTGTGTACGGCTGTGTTCTCCTAAGACTCTATGTAAGTGGCATGTTCTTGAATTCTGTGTCAAAGAGCTGAGGGCATAGCTCAACAGCAGAATCCTTGTCTAGCATACCCAAGTCCCTGGACTCTATCCACAAACTGCAAACCTGGATGAAAACCATGTATGGCAGTCTATATAGTTTTATGATATTCACTGCAGAAAATTGATAATATATTATCCTACTATCAAGCAATCACAATTTTCTACTTTCTGCTGTTGGTCTTACCAGACAGTTTTATATGTAAGTAATGATTTCTGATGAAAAGAAACACAGAAAGGACGCCTCAACTCCCCTCCCCATTCACCTTTAATGTCTGAAGACCTTAAGCCAAAGCTGGTCACGGAATGCGTGCTAGGAGGCTGTGCACTGAGGTCATTCTAGGAACGATTAATGATAAGCCATTTGCGGTGTCTCTACCACATCCTTTCTGCCTCAAAGCATGAATTCCTCTTCACAGGCAAGGGCTGACAGCATGTGGGTGTTTGGGGATACCCACTGGGGGACGTGTGAGTGCTATTTGTGCTAGCACTCCCCTGGAGGGGAGAGACAACTTTTGCATTGTGTGCCCGTTCTGCTCCACAGGTGTGCTCTGAGAAACAGGTTTCAAGGAGACCACCATTGGTACCATCACAATATGGCTGCTATCTAGACCATCTGACCAGTTCTTGGTGGAGTCTGATGTCCCACTGACTCCTTTGCTGCTGCAGAGGTTGAGGTGACAACACTGACCCTCTCTGCTGCTTAAACATTAATCTCTGGTGATCACTTCCACAAAGCACAAGCAGCATGCAAGAGTTATAGAAAGGGGTTCATGGGGCTGGAGAGATGGCTCAGTGGTTAAGAGCACTGCCTGCTCTTGCAGAGGACCCGGGTTCAGTTCCTAGCACCCACATGGTGGCAAACAACCATCCATAACTCCAATTCCAGGGGATCTGATGCCCTCTTCTGACCTCCATGGGCATTGCATGACATGGGTACACTTATATACATGCAGGCAATACACTTATACACATAAAATAAGTAAATAAAATATTTTCTAAAAGTGGATGGTGCCCAAGAAATGACAGCTGAGGTTAACCTTTGGTATCCTCCACATACATAGACATGCACACATACACACACGCACACATGCATGCACATGGAAATGCACTGGCACACACATGTACATCCAGACACACACACACACACAAAAGAAACGTAAACTCTTCCAAGCATGCCCTATAAAAAAGCTATCGTTATGAGAGGGAGATGCTGTCTCAAACAAAAAACAAACAAACAAAAGCTATCGTTATAAGTCGTTTAGTGGCAGCCATAACTCTCATAATTACTTGAAAATAAAATGAGAGTCTGCTTCATTCACCTCCAGTGGACAAATTTCTAACCAACTGAGATAACCAAATTCGCATTCCGCAGGGACTACAAACCACATTTCCCTAGCAGATCACTGGTGCTCTGTGCCTTTTGCACAGTTTATGTTTTTCCGAGACTTTCCTTTCCCTTACATTTCCAAACCAGTGGCCAAGGTTGGATTTTGCAGGGTGCACTGGGCATCACACTGTGCAAGCATGTTGACCCTATGTGTGCCATGCTGGAGAGAGAACAGCTCCTAGGTATTCATAGCCCTGGGGGCTAGCCCTGCTCTGACTCCAAAGCCCTGTGAGCTTCAGGAATTCATTTCTCTGTGAGTCTCTAGACAAGGGAATGGGGTGACCAAAGTTCCTTCCTGTTCTCAAGTCTCCATAATCTGTGATTAGTCAAAATGTACATAAGAAAGTAAAGCTGAGTTAGTTTGTTTGCAGTTTTGTATTCCTAATTTCAGTTGTTTTATATAACTGAGAAATGCATAAATTCAAGTGGCACTAACATTTTTCCCTCTGCATTCATACCTGTGTTTGTAGCTCGGTTCTTCCTAACAATAAAGTTCAACCGTTTTCTAGTGAGAGTCAAATCCTGAGTCTATGTGAAAACTTCCTTATTACAGACTTTACTCAAGTCACGCCTGTCTCCAAGGGGAAGACAGAAAGCCCGGCCTTTGTAGTCTCACTGTTGTAAACAGGATGTCACAGACCTAAAGCCAGAATTTTTGGAAATGTTGTAGGGAACGGGGATGGGGTGTGGAAGTGTGTGAGTCTGTGTGTGCGGAGGCCAGAGGTCCACCTCAGATGTTATTTTTCAAGATCTATACACCTTGTTTTCTGATACAGGGTCTTCCATGGGGACCTGGAACTCACTAATTATGCTAGACTGCCTGGCCAACAAGCCCAGGGATTCTCCTGTCTCTCCCTTCCCTAGTGCTGGGATTACAGGTACATGTTGGATGCTGGGGACCAAACTCAGCACTTTGCTGAGCCATCTCTCTAGCCCCCACCCCCAATATATTTCAAAGACCTGGCTTGCTTCTACGCCACCTTGAGCCTTGGAAGATAGTGAAGCTTTGGTTTTGACTTTAGTTCTGATGCATGTTCTACCTGCAACCTTTAGAGTGTGACTTGTCTATCTGAAGACTTTTCACTTAAACTATTTAAAAGAAAGGTGTGGTAACAGAGACTCCCCCCGCCCCCAAAACACACACCTGAAAATATATGGCATTACCACTGTTCTTGGTTGCCCACCAAATCTTGGTAGAAAATTATATTGCTGAAGACACAAAAGATTTTGATCACAGATCAAGAAGAAACCAGGCCTGTACCAGAAGGTCCTCATGTAGGATGTGGGGAAGAAAAAGTCATAAGCTATCTTAACCAGCTGTGAATCCTGAAAGCAGTGACTGACTTTGCAAGATACATCCATGGGTACAATGTGGCCTGAATGTTATGGAGGCAACCAACCACCTTCTGGTGGATTTAAGGCCCTCTCCACAGGAGGAAACTCATCCTTGCTACTGTAAATCTGGCCAAGAACCCATTGCTGGGGAGCTCATAGCCCAGGGGAAAACCTACCACTATTATTTTGCTAAATGATCACAGTTTCAAACTGGCCATTTATTAGTGCAACTCAGTCCTCATCAGAGAAAGCTTCTTTGTGCAGTGGACAGCAGTTAATATAGACACTCACAACTGGTCAAGCCAAGAGAGTGTCTGTTATGTGCTCAGCCATAAACAGGCCATTAACCACACCCCTCCCCACAAGGCTCAGGGAACATCTCAGAAGAGGGGTGGAAAAGTTAGAAGAGTCAGAGCTTAGGGAGGACTGAGACAAAACGGTGTCATTTGGACATGACAGTAGCCTTGGCTGCCTACACATGATCTGCATGGGGTTAAGCCAGTCAACATTCCAGTAAAGAGAGGGGAAGAGCTCATGAGTCCCCATCTCTAATTGAGGAGCTATTGACAGTATGGCCGACCTCTGATAGGTTGGACATACTCCAGTGGATGGGCCTGCACCCATGTGTATGTGGGCAGCACAAATTAGACTCAGTGGGTTAGAAGAGGGAAAAAATAAAAAGAGAACATGAAGTTGAGAGGGGTCATGGTGGGAGGGATGGGGAGGGATTGGAGTTGGGAAGTGGGAAGTAAATACGATCAGAATACATTGTATACCTATATGAAATTCCCAAATATGAAGTCCACAGATAAACATGCGGTCTATAAAAGGCCTGCTCAGGACCTAGATGTAGATAAATTTTGGCCACATCTTGATGAGTTCATTGGGATGGAACTCATCTGAACATAAAGCAACAGTGCTGGATGGTATAGAGCCCAGCTTTGTGTTGAACCCTGAATACCTACTCTTGTTGCCTGTGTCTCAGAGGGACCTGCCATGCTTGTGAAAGCCGTTCACTCATTCAGCAAGCATTTAGTGAATGCCTGTAGGAACCAAATGCCAGACTGTAAGATGAAATGAGCAGACCCACTGCTGCTGGGACACAGCCACTCAGACTCTTAGAGATTCATGAGTTAGCTCTAGAGCAGGGGCTGGGGACATAGCTCATTTAGTAGAAGGCTTGCAGTGTAAGCATGATGACCCAAGTTAGCTCCCCCAGAATCCCCAGGACTGGGAGGCAAGGATAGACAGATCTCTGGGGCTTGGTGGCCAGCCAGTCTGCTGAATCAGTGCATGACCTTTTCTTGGAAAGATAAGATGGAGCGTGACTAAGGAAGATGCCTGACATGGACCTCTGGCCGCCACACAGGCACACACACATACACACACACACACACACAGGTGCACACACAGGTGCACACATGTACATATACACACAGGTACACACACAGATGCATACAAATATACACACACATACACATGGGTACACACACGCATACATACACACACACACACACACACACACACACACAGGTGCACACACAGGTGCACACACAGGTGCACACATGTACATATACACACAGGCACACACACAGATGCATACAAATATACACACACATACACATGGGTACACACACATACACACACAGATATGGACACACAGGTACAGACACATACACACAGGTGCACACACATGTACACATGCACACAGATACATACAAGTGCGTACACATACACATAGGTACACACATACAGATACAGACATGCAGGTACACATACACACACACACACACGCATGCATGCACACACACAAAGAACTCTCAAGCATTTACCAGAAAGCATTCATGCTTGTGGCAAAGGCTAGTATAAAGTACAGACACTTTTGGAAAGAAAATAACAAAAACCTTCGGAGTGCTGTTGCCTGAGCCTGTGGGTAACTGGTGGAGCAGTTTCTGCGACTGCACTAGATTCCAAGTCTTTCAAACTTACACTAATGTGGAGTCCCATCATTCTTAGCAGTTAGTCTGCTGGAAAGGGCACACTTTTTGCACACAGCAGTTTCCACAGAGGAGCAGCTGAGAGACAAAGGAGAGGAAGCTCACTGCAGCTGCAGAGCCCACATTGCCACTGACCTGCTTCATCTCATTGGTGAAATACACGTAAGTCACCGCCATGGAGACAGACTGCAGGAGCACCTGCAGGAACACTGTGCAGATCACCATTGTCCTGAAGTTCTCCTGGGAGCTGAGGCCCTTCTGAGTCTGCATGGAGGCCATGGTCCTGTCTGGATCTGGACTCCCCCAGGGCAGTCAGGCAGCAAGTGACTGAGGAAGCCAGAGCCAGGAAACACAGTTGCACTTTCGTTTCTTTTTGATTGTTGACCAAGGTAAAAAGAAAGCTAGCTAAGCTTCCAACAAAGCCGGTCAGAGAAGAGAACACTTGCTAGTTCGGGGGTCGAACAGGTAAGTACACCTTAAGAAAATCTCTCAGACTGAAAGGCTGTGCATGGGTTAAGTCAAACAGCTCCCTGCCCAACCTCTGTGACCCTCTGAGTCCTGCACAGGCACTTGTTCCAGCAACAGGGCCAATTTCTGGGCATCATGTGACACATTTCAGACCGATAGCCCACCACAGTGAACATCATGACCCAAGGCCACTCTGGTCTGCAGTTTCTGCTGCCTCAAGAAAAGTCTCCTTTGACATTGACCCAAAGGTGTGGTCACAGTTCCCACACAGCAGCTGGCTGATGTGAGCAGTTTCAGAGGCTGCTATAGCTTGGGCTTTAGGCCAGACACAGCAGATGCAGCCTGGAGTCAGACCTCTACCAGCCACCTCCTAGTTTCCCCATTCTGGTTTCCTAAGGACCTTGGTCCCAGGTTTTGGTTAAGAGTGGTAAGTGTACCTTCTCAGAGGGTTTCAAAAGTATGAAATGAAATGAAATGAGTGATTTATGACTGGTTCCCCAGAGGTGCCTAGTAAATTCAGATCAAGGAGGCCACAGGGGACAGAGCCTGTTCTCCCTTCTGTCCAAGGGAGATTTGATTGACAGTGACTGGTATAGAATTTAAAAACATAGGAGCTGGAGAGATGACTCAGTTGTTAAGAGCACTGGCTGCTTTGCAGAGGACTGGGATTTGGTTCCAGCCATCCACATGGCAGCTAACAACCATCCATATCTCCAGTTCCAGAGGATCAGGTGTCCTTTCTGACCTCCACAGACATTGCATGACACTGGTGCACTTATACACATGCAGGTAATACACTCATACACATAAAATAAAAATAATAAAATATTTTTTAAAAAGCATGTCTGAGTATTTGTTCAGGGTGTAATTATGGAAGTGGCTTTAACAGCATGATTACGTTATTCTGATGAAGTAGCTGAGGTACGTCCACTCCAAAGCATGACCATGGTGTGGGGGAGGGAGGGAAGTCAGGAGAGGAAAGATGGTGGGAGTTGGGAGGTATTGGGGAGAGGGTAGGGATAGTGGGGGCACTGTGACTATGGAGGGAGGGAGGAGGGAAGCCAGATGGGAGAAAAAATAGTGGAGATGAGTGAATCTTGGGGTCTAGGAAACCTAGAGGGAAAAGTGATGCCCTAGAAACCCCATGAGAAATGCACATAGAGTGTCTGGACATTAATGCATATCTGTACCTGGGAGCTGCTTGGTAGGGAATGCAGCACCAGATGGAAGAGACCTCTCTTAGAGTGACAAGCATGCCATACAGCACTCATCAGAGAAGCCTCTTTTTCCAACAGATTGAGGCTACTGCAAAGTTGCACATCTGGTCAGGCACAGAGAACGTACGTCTGGGAGATGCCCAGTACTAGGTGACACATCTGCAGTCAAATCTCTACAACTAAGGCTCATGGAACATAGCAGAATAAGAAGTAGAGAGAAGGCTAATGCACCCCTCAACTTTAACCAGTAAGGCTCCCTTGTACCTCAGAGTGTGACACACACAGAAGGCCACAGCTGGCCAAGTTTTGGAGAATAAGAGACTGTAGAGTGTAGGATGGGACTCCTATATGGAACCTCACCCACCCGCGGCTCAAGGACCATTGCGGAAGAGGAGGTGGAAAGATTGTAAGATCCAGGGCTGGTTCATGAACACAGGGAGGTAGAGGCTTCCAGGCCATTGGAAGCTTGGAGGCTTGCTCATGTGAGCCTGTGGCAGCAGTGGTGTCAAGCGCAGGACCCATGGCAGCTCAATTAAACAAGGGCCCAAAGGGGAGGTGAGAAATAGTTGGCAGGCCAGCACTAGATTGAGAACTATTTGAGACTGATTGCTGCTGGGTGAGGGAGAGTATGACTTACATACGACCACTGGACGGGCTGATTAGATCCAGTGGATGCACTTACAGTGACGGACATTTGGGTACAAACACCTGAATGAATAGGACTCAGCATGTATGGCAGAGGGCATAGGGTTCAGAGGGGGCATGGGGGGAGGCATGGATGGGGGAGGGGGTCTGGACTTGAGTGGGAAATGTATGAAATTTAAAAAGCTCAATTTAAAAGAAAAGCAAATGCTTGATTGGATAGGACTTAACATGTATGATGAAATACATGAGGTCCAGGAGGGGGATGGGGGGGAGGTCTACATTTGATTAAGAACTGTTGTACGAAATTACAAAAGCTCAATAAAAAGTTCTTTGGTCTTTTTAAGACAGGGTCTCCTTGTAGCCACAGCTGTTCTGGAACTCACTATGTAGACCAGGCTGGCCTTGAGCTCACAGAGATCTGCCTGCCTCTGCCTCCCTGCTGGGATTAAAGGTAAAAAAGCTGGGTGTGGTGGCGCACGACTTTAATCCCAGCACTTGGGAGGTAGAGGCAGGAGGATCCTCTGTGAGTTCAAGGCCAGCCTGGTCTACAGAGTGAGTTCCAGGCAGCTGGGGCTACAGGGAGACCCTGTCTCAAAAAGATTTAAAAAAAAAAAAGAAGAAGAAGAAGAAGAAAAAAACCAAAAGCAAGTGTGTCTGAGTGAGTATTAGTTCTGGGTGAAATTATGGAAGTGGCTTTAATAGCATGATTAGGTTATTTTGATGTAGCAGTGTCGGATTAGCTGAGCTACACCCACCCCGAAGCATGACCAGACAAGAAATCAAAAGCATTCAGCACAGTGGCATCAATTACTGTATCCAAGAAGCAAGAAGAAGCGGTGGCATTAATTTTAATGATATGCTTAATCTAATATATTCAAATATTATATCAACACATAACAAATATGTGTGTTTTAGTTGTGAGAATTCTTAATGTAGCACGGTGGTAGAGCGCTTGTCCAGTCTGTGTGTGGTCCTGAGTTAAATCACAAATATTAAGTATTTCTTTTTCTTTTTATATCAAGCTTTTGAAATTTGGTGGGTATTTTAGACTTTTTAAAAAATAATATTTTTATTGATTCTTTGAGAATTTTATGCACTGTATTTTGACGTTTTGGTTGCCAGACTTGCTGTTTAACAAGTGCATCATCTCTCCAGCCTGGATTTTGATCATGTTCATTCCCTATCTCTGCTCAAATCCGCCCCTGCCTCCCTAGCCCCTCCAACTTTGTGTCCTCTTTTGTTTTTAAAGCCCCTCAAGTCTAATTTGTGTTCCAAATACACTTGGGTGTGGGTCCATCCCCTGGACTGTGGCTGGGGTCACACCCTTGAAGAAAACTGACTCCCCATCTCCCTGTAGCTACATACTACCAATAGCTCTTCAGCTAGGGATGGGTCTTTGTGCCCACCTCCCCACTCCATACTGAATTTTGTCTGTTTGAGCTTGAGCAGATCTACTGCATGCTGTCACAACCACTGTGAGTTCGAATGTACATATGCCACGCTCTGTCTGGAAAACGCTGTTTCCATCTACCACCTCTAGCTCTTACAATTTTTCCACCCCCTCTTCTGAGATGCTCCCTGAGCTTTAGGGGAGAGGTGTGTTTCCATCTACCACCTCTAGCTCTTACAATTTTTCCACCCCCTCTTCTGAGATGCTCCCTGAGCTTTAGGGGAGAGGTGTGTTATAGATGTCCCATTTAGGAATACTCTTATTGTCTGCATGTAGACCAGCTGTGGGTCTCTGTGTTAATCTCCAGCTATTGAAAAAAGGTATTTTACACATTTAGCATTTGTCAATCCAGTAGCTAACTCTGCATCAGAAATACTTGACCCATATTTTAGACTTCCTAAATTTACAATTGAAAATGTCAATTTTGGGGCTGGAGAGATGGCTCAGCAGACCTGGATTTGATTCCTAACACCCACATGCAGCTAACAACCATCCAAAACTCCAGTTCCAGGGGATTTGGTGCCCTCTGACCTCCATGGACATGTTGATTGGTTACTTACTCCTTAATCTAACAGCCTCAAGGAGACAGGGCTGTATGTAACCCTGGAAAGGCAACCTCCTCTTCTTCCTACTCTCCTATACTTTTAGTAGAACTTGCGTGTCATAAATTATGTAGCTTTTTAATGTGTAGTTCGAGCTTTATTTGATTATTTTATTATTCTGTGCCTATGTGTATATGGAAATGGTATTTTATCAAAAAGAATGTAGGAACTGAGGTCGCTGAAGACTTAGATTTGGAGCTGTCAGATCCAGGAATAGTTCTGCAGTCTACCCACTGGCAGCAGGTACCACTACTCTAGATGTTAGACATCACTACTAGACCTACTCACACATCTGTTTCTGGAGATGGAACATAGTGGTCACAGCTGAACCCCCCAGAGCACAGTCTATGTGGTGCCTGCTTCAGCTTCATGATTCACAAATCTTTGTAACTCATCCCTAACCTCTGTTTCATGTGTGCTTCTGTATCTGCTTGACAGAGCCTCGGTCATACCACATCCTAGGTTGAAGGGAAGTATAAAAGTGAATGTCTGATATTTTGGCCTGCTCTGCTGAGAAGTGGGTGTCCCAACACAGAAAACAAATGTCATGGTAGCTAATGAGAGGAAATCCCCACCCACTTCAGATAGTGAAATCATTTGTTAACATATTAATAGGTCCCAAGTATTGAGGAAAATATAGCTAATCAGATTCATGAAAGTCAAAGCATTCCAATCAGACTCAACCCAAGACAGTCTTTCCAAAGCACATTAGCATCCAGGTGTCAAAGACCATTTCAAATGTAGAAAGAGAAAATGTCAAACCATGTATGAGAGAATCCTCATTAGGCTAACAGCAGAGTTCTCAGCAGAAACCTCAAAGAAAAAGAGATAATTGAATTATATATTCAAGAGCCCTGAAGCAACAACAAAAGTTCCAGCCTGGGATACTGCTCAGGATACTGCTGCCCAGTAAGCATCCTTCAGAAGTGAAGGTAAAAACGGAGCCT